TGGAGGACATTGAAGATATCTACCTATTCGGAACCATGATAACAGGTCTATAAATTTCTCATTAAATTCTGCCAAGATCAAATGATCTGAGCTTCTCCACATTCATTTTATAGCTCTATATTCTTAATATATGATATCTATTGACTCATTTATGTTTGTTTGTTTTATTTGTTTTGATATAAACCAGCAATTTTTGTATTAGCAACTCCAAACAGCAGTGCAACAACATGTAATCTGGATTACGATATTTGATTCCAAAATTAACAAGCATTAAGTGCTTGTAATTATATTATTATAACTTTTTTAAATGTTCATAATCAGATTACATTTACTTTTTATGGATTACATGATTACAAATTATTCACCCAATGAATTCACGGAGTAAATTATTCATAATTTATAGATGCCCCCTAATTCTTTTTTCTCTTTTAAAATTTTTGTTCATGTGATGCAAGGATTCCTGGACTTTTTGTCAGTCAAACATTTGACTTACTTGACTTTACTTGAAGTCCCCCTGAGACTAAAAGTTAATATTTCATAATATTTCATTATTTAATTTAATAACGTATTTGATGTCGGTTAATCGTCATACATTTCTTTCCATTTTTTTTTTAAATAACAATAATCTATAAACAATTTAGGCCAAATGCAATTGAAAAGTAATCTTTGACCTCTCTTACATGAAACTAGAGGATGCAAAATATCCACCAAATAATAAGGTAATGGAAAACATGTTTGTTTATGTTAGATTTTGGTTCCTAGACACGGCCCTAGATTTGTATTGGTCAATGGAATATTTCAGCCATGCTAAAATACACACAAAACACAGTAAAGGGTGATTTACATTCTTAAAAATAAACCTTCCTTTGCACAAAAGGTTCTTTATACTAAAAAAAAAGGTTCTTTAAAACTGGTCACTGAAGGGCTCTTTAGGGAACCTAAAATGGATCTTCGTAACCCTCCCTTTGAAATCTTTATTGTTAAGAGTGCATTCTCTCCTTGTACCTTCTGTAAGAACACCCTTACCCGTGGTGAAATCACTTTACCATTCCCCCTCTTGTGGCTCAGTGTTTAATTAGTAATCATGTCATCAACAAGACTGAAGTCTGACACCAACAAAGTCTGAACTTTTGAATTAGTCAGCAATTGTTCTCAGTTTATCAATCAAACGATAAGCAGTTATCAGTGCTGAAATGTTCACAGTCCAGCGGTGTATGCATACTGTAGCTATAGGAGGTCCCGTGGAGGAACAGCTTGTGTGGGCGCACCATCTTCACAGCTGAATGTTCCTCTGAGATTAATTACATCTTCTCAGGGAGCTGAAATTTCTGCCTCATAATTTCTAAGCCAATGTCAGCGCTGACGTTACCTGTCAGGGATCTTTTCTTTTCTTTTTTTTTGTGCTGAGGTCGTAGTTCTGAGGTGGGAGCAGTTAAAATCTAATGGACAATCCATCCTCCCACTGTGGGTCTGTCTCTCTCGTACATGCTGATTGACAGAAAGACAGCACTCGTTTGCAAACCTCCAGACCAAAAAGAGACAGGTTAATGTGCACTTCTCACAATCCAATCAATTCCTGTCTTAGATTTTTCTCATATTGAACATCCAGTTTCACTCAGAAGGGGTTGTCAGAGGCACTACATACAGTGGAGGTCAAAATTAGAGAACAACCTAAAACTTCCTAAATTTCAAGGTCACTGCTCAGTACTATTTAAAGTTATCCTAACATGAGTAGAAGAACAGTTTTTTTAAGCATATTTCATAAATTAATTGTGTTCTGATGCACAGTATAAAAAACTTAAATTAGATATTTGAAAAATAACTTTTAGAAGAAGAAAGAACACACTTAGAGATACCTCCCAGTTATTGGTGTTAATCTGGCACCTGGTGCTAATTTAATTAATTATATGACAAACCTAATTAACTGGAAACATTCGTCTAATTTTCACTGAGATTGCAAGATGGCGGGCCGCTCTAAAGTGACTGAAAGCCTGTGACAGGAGGCGGTCCAGATGAAGGCCAAAGAGAGTGACACTTTCAGCCACTGCAAGAGAAGCTGGTCGTTCCAAATCTGTGATTTCTCAAATATTGCAGCTTTACAATGACACTAATTCATTAAAGTCCCCCAAAAAGGCTGGTCGTCTACATAAGACAAATGCACGAGAAGACAGGACAATGCTGAGGATCTCAATGGGGAATCGGTTCAGCACTGCAGCTGGAATTGCTCACCAGTTGAACACTGAATAGGGTAAAGATCTGTTTAAAGGGGTCATATGATGCGATTTCAAGTTTTCCTTTCTCTTTGGAGTGTTACAAGCTGATTGTGCATAGATAAGATCCCTGAAGCTGCAAAGACTAAAGTCTCAAAACCAAAGAGATATTCTTTATCAAAGTTAAGACTCTGCCAGTTTATGTATTTGCTATTGACTGTTCAAATGCGGAGTTTTGCGCATCGTGTGTGTGTGTGCGCGAGAGAGAGAGCGAGAGAGGGAGAGCGAGAGAGAGAGTGCGAGAGAGAGGGAGAGAGAGGGAGAGCGAGAGAGAGAGAGTGCGAGAGAGAGGGAGAGAGAGGGACAGCGAGAGAGAGCGAGAGAGAGCGCGAGAGACCGTCTTAACCTTGTCTTAACCGTGGCTTGTGTACTGCAAATACATACCAGCTTCATCACTGTGTCTGTCACGCGACTCTGTTCCCCTTTTGGGCTCTGTCTTTACATTTATTTTGAAAGATGAAGCTCACGATTATGGTAAGGGGCGTTACATTTCCGACGAGTGCTTGCGGTGTTCGGCCAATCACAATGCACTGGGTCAGCTGGCCAATCAGAGCAGACTGCGCTTGTCGGAAGGAGGGACTTTGTAGAAAACGAAACGTTTGAGAGAGGCGGGGCATAGAGGACCTACAATAATGTACAGTATTTGAAAAACAATGTGTTTTTTGAACATTAAAGCATGTCAACATATTCTGTTACACCAAATACACCAAATAATGATCTTTAAAAAAGCATCATATGACCCCTTTAAGAGAAGTCGGACTGAAAGCGCAGTCTGCAGCGACCAAGCCTCTCATCAACAGAAAGAATCAAAAGGCAAGACTCACCTTTGCTGAGGAGCATGTTGTGTGGAGAGAGGAGAACTGGTCCACACCAGCGCAGTGTGAGAAACTAGAGATGTCCTGCGGCCAAAGATGTGCTGAAGTCATTCAAAGCATTGAATGACTCTCATTTTGATCTCCACTGTATATTTCAGATAACCCTACTGTAGGAACCGTGATAGATTACTTTACATGTCTGTCAGTGGGTGGTTTTTGAACTAAATAAGCTGCAGTATGGACCTTTTTATGCCACAACACATATATTATAGTTATATGGATTGTTCTACTATCCTTTTGCACCTGTAGCAGTCAAGTGCACATACAGGGATGATAATGTGTAATCCGACGTTGATTGCAGGCAGAATTACAGCCTAATATCAGATTAATATTGTAAATCCGACTTTATACAGTTGATAATGTTTAATTAGGGTAGAACAGCCCTGCGTTGGTTGTTTCTATATTCTTTAAGTCCCTACTCCTGATATTTGCACGCGCCATCCAGTCCTTCACAGGAATTCGCGCTCTCGCAAAATTCAAAAGTTAACGGTCATAACGGCCAATCGACGGATGTGTGTGGGTTTGTCATCGTGGATGTTTATTGTGAGATTAAATGTATATGTTCGAGATTTTTTTTTAAAGATTTTACACAGTTGATCATGTTTGTAAGAGTAACCACAATATTTTATAGAGTAGCCTATAGACTAAATAGTGAGAAGCCGAGATATCACAGCTGAACTACTGCCTGATGATAATTTGCTGCTCTTAAACGCTCTAGATTGCAATGAAGTAAATTATAGAAGAGAATCAAAATACAGTTCTGAGGTGTAAGTGCAGTTTTAAGAAAGGGATATGTTTTCCTGAAAGTAATTCCCGGGTTTGTAATTACCTGACTTGCCGGTGACGTGTAGAAGAAAAACGAGAGAGAGAGAGAGAGAGAGAGAGAGAGAGAGATGGAGGCGGGTCACAGCGGAGCGGAGGAGCATCTCTCTTTCAGCTCTGTTCGTTTCGGAAGCGCAGTTACGGACATCCCGGTGTCGAGCGCACTGGACTCGTAAGTTCTGTCCATTTTGCATCGTTAAATCCACTTTTTAGCTTCTTCATGAATGAATGTCAAATGTCAGAGGTAACGTGGGTAGATTGTAATTTAATATGTGAGTATTAATTCGCTTTACTGAGTGAAAATGCGCAGGCGTTAACTTAAGGGGCTATGTGTAACCGACATGGCTTTTAAAAATGACTTTAGCTGGTGTCATCCAACGTAGTCCTTGATTCCTTTATGTTAAATTATATATTTAAAACCTGTCCATTTGAACGTTACTACATGAAACACGTTTTGGTTGACTTGACGGAAATCTTTGTACAGGGAAAGTGGGAACGAAAAATAATTAAAAATATTACAATTATAAAGCAATTATAAAGCTTTTACACATTAATTCATTCGTTTTATTGAATGCCAGTACTGTCATATGTTTATTTAATTGATTTTATTAATCAATTAATTTCGTTTTAATTCGAATCTATTTGTTAATTCTTGAATGTGTAAACTTTGATGACTTGTAAAGGGATTTTGATTTATTTTTATATATTTTATGCAACATATTATGGAAATATACTACAGATTCACACCAATAGATTTACTATTCATGGATTTTGTAAGTAGTGGTGACAGTCTTTATGTGTTAACCTAGTATGATTTTTTTTGTTTCTGTTAAGAACGTATAATGAATTTTGCAGGAACATACTGAACGGAGGTGTGTGCTGTCCATGGTACTGAAAATCATGTAGACTAGGATTTTCGGCTTGAACTGTGAAGAGTTTAATTGTTTTCCCTCTCATATTTTGTTTTTCAGATTAACATAATATAGTCTTGAGCAAGTAGATTTCAAGTTTGAGAACCTTTTCACTCCATCCACTCACCGTGAAATGGGCATTGCGTAGTTGTTGTTTTGACTCTGTAAGCACTTATGCCTTAAAGAATGAGAGCCTTAGGGAGGAGGACTGTTGAAATGATGCTATGCGGAGATGGAGAATGGAGGACCTGCAAGAGTGCATGACAAGCGGGTCGGTGCCAGATTGAAGAAATTATAAAAAGAGGAGAAACACATCACCACCTGAAGCCATGGGGATACGACATCTCCTACTTCTGTTGGTCTATCTAGACCCGCTGTGCGTTCTGAGCGCATCCACAGCCAAGCGGAGCAAACCCCCTCCAAAGAGACCCCCAAAGGTGAAGGAGGTCAACAGCACCGTTGCTCCGACAGTTGCACCCCAACGGATCACACAAGTCCAGGCGCCCATCGTTGGTGATCATGACACCTGTCTTGGTTACTATGACGTGAGTGGTCAGTACGACAAAGAGTTTGCCTGCAACAACACTGACCACCGGTACTGCTGCGGGAGCTGCTTCCTGCGCTTCTGCTGTCCTGTGAAAGCCAAACGACTAGATCAGAGAGTCTGTACCAACTACAACACGCCCGACTGGATCAAAACCCAACCGCCCTCACCAGCACCCACAGGGGACACGTACGACCCTGCACTGGACCAGACCAACACCACTGTCTACATCACCTGCGGGGTCATTGCCCTCATTATCATCCTGGGAATTTCTGCCAAAGTGGCCTATGATAAAGCCACCAGACCGCCTCAAGAAATGAATGTCCACAGGTAAGTCCAAGATATGTCTTTAGCTTTCTCAAGCTTTAGGCTAATGCACTGCCAATATGACATAGTGATTTTATAGGGGCGACGTAGCCTGGTTAAACCACCCCAGGGCTGGTAACGGAAATTTGTACAATGCAAAAATGTGCAATTTTACGTTAAAGGGATAGTTCACCCAATATTTAAAATTCTGTCATCATTTACTCAGCTACCCATGTTGCTGTGGAATTTTCAGTAGGGTCCATTTTTGTTTGGACCCCAATGTTCTTCAAAACATCTTCTTTTGTGTTATTTAGTAGAAAGAAAGTCATATAAGTTTGGAACGACACGAGGGTACATTTTCATTTTTGGGTAAACTGTCCCTTTAAGAAGTTTTTTTTTTCTTAACATACTTGGTGCATGTGAGGGTGCATAAGCTATTTAGTCAGGTTTACAGTGATACATATAGCATATGGATAACCATCAACAGAAAGGTAATTTTGGATGAAAAGTGTTTGCCCAAAGTATATTAGTCCGTTAACTCCCAATTGCATTCTCAAAGTTGGAAATTAAGAGGATATTGGTGTCAAAAATATGAAAATGGTGTTTTTTTTTAAACTTTCATTAGCTTTTCAGTATCAATTTATTCTGATTAATGTGGAAATTCAGATAAACACAATATGTTTTACAGAAGCCTAAGAAGTATTATACATCAAAACCATTTGAACAGCACAGACTGCATACAAAATAAGAGTGATTTGACATTTTTAGTGTATGAGACTGAATGAGGAAACCAGAAATGAATGAGACCTTGTAACTAATTTCTTCTGAAACATACAGTACATAAACTAGACCTTAAGTGAAAGCTTTGTGGTCTTGATAACAAATTAAACACTGGGTTCTGGGTTAAGATGGAATATTAATAGTTAATTGCATACTGTATTAAATCTAGGACTCGTCTGCGTCTAGGAGGGATTGATTCTGGATTTCATTAGTCTTGTGCTGAGATAGAGGTCAATTGGAAACTGTTGTAGTAGAGGGGATTTAGGTCTTCATGGTGCAGTTTGTCAATAAGACAGATTTATAGTGCTTTGGTTTGTCAGTGCCAAAAATGAGAACTGTTTCTTTGTTTTTGAAGGACAACCATGTTTTATTTGTATTGCTTATTGATTCGATTAATAAAAAAAAAAGTCAGAAAAGGTTAACTGAGAACATTAAATTTCCATATTAAAATGACGTAACACTGACTTCATAGCCATTTTAGCCAGTCACTTCGCAAGGGGAAAGTTGTTCCTGTGCAGAGATGTTAAGAGTATTAAAGATGACACATTGCTCTTCTCTTATCGAAGTGATCCATGTTGCAAATATAAGTCAAGCTCAGGCAGTCTGATAAGAGTTTGGTTGGCGCTCACAATGAGGCTTATTGGATTTGTGAAGACCGAATGACATTCTGTACAGCAGAGGTGGAAAGTAACAAATGACATTTACTCGCGTTACTGTAATTGAGTAGCTTTTTTGTGTACTTCTTCTTTTTAAAGTAATTTTTAAAATCTGTAATTTTACTTTTACTTAAGTATATTTTGTTTGAAGTATTGTACTTCACTACATTTGAAAACACATTAATTACTGAGTAAAAAAAAAATTGCTCCCTGGAAACTACTGCAGTAAATAATGGGCAGGAGAGCAAACTGGCACTAAAATCACAAAAAAGATGCAGACGGACAAGACGGGCGTTATGCTGTAGACCCAGCTGAAAACGAAACCCCGTCATATTCTGCTAAAGTTGAACTCGAAGGAAATGAAGTGAACCCCTGGCCATATTTATGCTCTATTATGCAGTGTAAGCTCTGTTTGCCTAGGGAGACCAAACTAGCAGCTTATAAAATCTCGACATCAACTCTTCGCAATCATGTATAGGTAAGGTAAATACTTGCATCGTTGCATTGGTGGTTAAAATGAAGCTTTGACAGTTTAGCAAGAGGTTTTGCTCAAATTAGCCAAAAAGACAGTGGTGTGGAGTGTGCAATATATATATATCATCTGCGATAATATCGTAATTGTTGTTTCTGTCAGGACCACTATCGTCAAAGATGATTGACAATTAGCATACAGTTTGGATTGGCGGTATGGTTCTGTTCTGGGCAAGAACTCCCTGCGCATCCATGCAGCCTAGCATGGATGAGAGCAGGGAGAGCAGCAATAACCCCCCCAGGGTAAACAGAACAGAACCAACATAAATGTATTGCAGATATTGTTAAAGTTCAATAATTTTATGTACACATTTTAGAATTAGTCTGATTCAAAGGAGAATCAGAAGGCTGAATCCCGACTGACAAAGGAGGAGTTGGGGATGGAGGAGGGTAATTAGCTGTTGAGCAATGCGAAAACTGCTGATAATACTGAGGGACCTTATATATGAATGCTTAGATAGGTGTCGTATTCCCATAGGTTGATGGGGAACAGCTGAGAGTCAGCTGATGCGAGCTTGACTAACGTGACCTGCCAGAACTAACGCTACACTTGATTTGAATGATTTGACATGAACAAACACTCCTACAGAGTGCTGTGAATTCTAGATTAGACTAGTGTGCATGCTCATTTAGAGTGCATTCTTTCACTGCGTGATTCAGTCTGTTAAAATGCATTTAGAATGATCACAAAATTGAAGATATAGGGGCAGAAAATATTTATATTTATATAATTTCATATAGTAAATCAATATCACACAAAGAATGCCATTTTGTCCTCCAAAAATCTGCATGATTACATGATTATTAGATGTTTTTTTTTTTACAACAGTTCAATAAACAAGAAGTTAATTTAGAGACTTGCATTTTAGACACCATATTGCCTGTTTTTGCTCTATTTCTACAACAAAAATAATTCCAAACACAGCCACCATAGCACAGTTTTGCGTCTCTGAGCAACATGACAGTGTTTCGTTCCTGAATGAATCAACCGTTTAAATGATTCGATTAAATCACAATGACTCACTTATTAACAGTGACTTGCTGACACCTACTGGCCGTTTTAATTTCACATTTAAAGTATCTTTTGATTTTTTTTCTTATAATTTCAAATGAGTATTCAACATTTTATGTCTTGTATATCAAAACATTATTTATGCATTTTTAAATGCAGGTTAAATGCATTCATGTCCTGCATTAAACAGTGTGTAAATACATCTAAATGCCACTTCCGATGAAGCTTCTGTGTTTCCTCTGCATTGCAAAGTTGAATTTTGTTGATACTGATTTAATTTGCCTGGTAACAGCCCAAATGTCTTATTATTCTAAGTAACTGATTCTTTTAATTAAAAACAACTAGTTTGAGATGTATAGGCCTATCCCAGGGGTGTCAAACTCAGTTCCTGAAGGGCCGCAGCCCTGCAGAGTTTAGTTTCAACCCTGCTCCAACACACATACCATGTAGTTTTCAAATAAGCCTAAATGATTAGCTTAGCTGGATCAGATGTGTTTAATTAGGGTTATATCTAAACTGTGCAGGGCTGAGTTTGACATCCTTGGTCTATCCCATTTTTGCCTCCCTCCCACTGTTAAAATTACGTGAAAAATTAGTAAATTTTAAATGAGCTACTTTTTACTTTTACTTGAGTAGATTTTTAGACTGGTACTTTTACTTGTACTTAAGTAAAATTTCGTTAATGTAATTGTACTTTTACTTGAGTAGAATATTGTCATAGTCTTTCCACCTCTGCTGTACAGCTGGTTGAAACCTGTGAGCAGCATACTTTAAATGAACAGTCTGTTGTTATTTACTCATGGCGTTCCGAATGCATATGACTTACTTTCTTCAATGGAAACCAAAGCGAAGTGACCAAGGACTGAGGATTAGCCTAAAGAAAGCACCATAAAAGATGTCCATTGGACTTAAGGCTGGAATACACTAAAACCACTTTTAAAATCTGAACAGATTTGAAAACACTAGGGATCATACACTTGCCGACTTTGCAAATGGTTACAGAGAAAAACTGGCCATCAACAACTGAGGATCATACACTACCAGACTTTAAAGTCGTTCTGATCACAACAAACTCACACAGAAAATGCGCCTTGTTGCTAGGAGACACATGAGAATTGAAAACTCTCATGAAAATTTAAAAACATGTTTGATATCCTCCGACTGGATGGAATCATAGTCTGAAGCTAAAAAATTGGACTTCATACACTACGCCATTTTCTATGAAATCTGTCAACTCAAATATGCAGACTGGCTCTGAATTTTTTTATACTTTTATGATGCTTGACAGTCCTTGATCACAACCAATGACTCATTGATTGCATTTATCGTGTTGAATCTTACATTTAGAGACTCTAAACTAGGGGTGTGCAATACCAATTTTGACCGTGGATGATTAAAATGTCTCCACGATCTGCTTTTGAAGAAATATCAAAGTATCGTGCTACAGTGCACATTCTAATGCTGATGATAATTGCTCAAAATGTTGTCCCATGTATCATCAGCCTAACAGTTGCAGTTCTGATGCCTCCATCTCAATATACTGTGTTGTGAACATACACATGAAATGTTAACTCAGCGGTAGAGTTACACTCACGGGAGACTGCACTTTGCAATCACAAAAGTACATTATTTGCATGTGCTTTAAAGCCTTGCCGGTCAGTCATGTACTGTTCTGACATGCGCTTTTTCTGAGTGCGTACACCTGAAGCACGTGCACATTAAAAAGCCTGTCAAACAGAGCTTGATTACTGGACAATATATAAACACAGTTGGTTATGTCTAAAGTGAAAGTAAACAGTCGAAAGAAAAATGAATGTGTACCTGTATCTTAGATGCGTGCAGGTCTTGTAGTGATGACAACAGACTAAGGCCATGTCCATACGTACACCGGAGTTTTTCCTTCTTCCGTTTTTAAAAAAATCTCCGTCCACATGAAAATGCAAACGCATGCTATGAAGCCCTGTCAAGAGCATGCCAAACCAACAGGTGGCTATATAATCTCAACCGTAAAGCCATGTTGGCCAATCAGAAGCCTGAAAAAGTTT